TACATTACATTAATCCGCTTGATTTTTCACCTGTGTCATCTAAATCATTATCAGAATCTAAGTCATCATCACTTTCTTCATTCCTTTTGCAGCTTCTTCTGTGATTGGATCTTTGATTATTTTCAGTATTTTCTGTCTTTTCTGGTTCTTTATTAAACAGAATAAAAATGTCTTCTTTCTTTCCACATTTCGCACAGACCTCAAGTTCATAGGCACATGGTCTACACATTATGTGGTAAGAATCCTTCATGGTCTTCTATAAACATTTAACACAATTTTTTAGGTTTTGATAATGGTTTATATTTGCTGTATTTTACCCGCCATTCAAGAACTTCTTTACAACGCTGACATACTCCATCGTGAAGTTTTGCATTAATTTTCCAGCCTTTCTGCTCCCAGTCTGCACACGTGACAGATAAATTTTTAATCAGAATAAAACATGCATTGCCTCTAGTTCAGTTTTTAATAGAGTCCTTGTTTTTAACTAAAACCTCATATGAGCCTGGCCTTTACTATTTGCATTTTTGTCAGCATTTTGTTTTTTTGAGCTCCAAACAGAATCACAAATCATACTCTGCTTACAGTGTCTTAGGGCTTTTTAAGCCTACATCTCCAAACCTTTTAAAACTTTGTCTGCAAACCAGTTTTAAATGCTCTTTTAACCACATAGTTAGGTACACTTACTTTGAAATGATCATACTCCTGTTACCAGTCTTTGCATTAGTCAATTTTCTGTCACTGGAACAAAATGTGCAATACCCACAACTTAAAGGAGTTTACTTTGGCTCACAGTTTTAGTGGATTTAGTCCATGGTTCACTGGCTTGAAGGTAGAGATGGCATGGCAGAAGGAAATGGTGGAGGAAAGCTGTTTAACCTATGGCATCTAAGAAGCAGACAAAAAAAAGATAATCTTGGGACAAAAATATACCCTTTTAGGTTATGCCCCTAGTGATCTGCCTCTAATCAGGCCCTGTCTCCTAATGCCACATTCAGCTATGAACTCATTGCTGGATTGATACACCAGTGAGTATAGCACTCCTGTGATCCAATCACCTTTAAAAGACTCACCTCTAAACACATGAAACTTGGGGTGGGGTGCATTTTAGATCCAAACCATAACAGTAATTATATTTTAAGGCATGTAGCCAAAAGCTAATTTATGGTGGTTATTACAATTAAACCTGTATTTTAATTCTCACTTTAGTATTATAATCAATTCATGTCAGTCCTTTATATCTGAGGCCTTCAGCTTTAGCATTTATGGGATAAATTAGTGACAAAGCATAGAAAGTCTTAACCAAATGCCATTTGATGGTGGGGTATGGCCTCAGAATTCCTGCAAGGAGACAGGAGAAATCACTGTGACCTGAAGTGTCAGGAAGGCACTGTGGAGGTGCTGCAGTCACCAGGAAGCTGGGTCCTGTGGCTGTGAAGAACTGTCCCTTGATCCTTGGTCTTTTGCGCCTTTGATGAAAGAATTCAGTCAAGACACATAGGTGGAAGTGCAGGCTCTAGGTAGAATATTGTCAAGTGGATGTAGATAGAGTTATGCCTGTCTTAGTTACTTTTCTCTTGTTGTTGAGACAAAATACTCGACACCCACAAGTTAAAGGAGGAAAGGTTTATTTAGCTCAAAGTTTGTAGAGGTTTCAGTCTGTAATTGGCTGGTTCCTATGTAGGGTGGCATGGCAGAGGGGCATCGGTGAGGAGAAACAGTTTGTGACAGGCAGAAGATACCAAAAGCAAGCAATCGACCAACCACAAATAACTAGCAGCAAGCCTCTTTCTGTCCCTTATATTGTGTCCAGCCTACCCACTCTTAGGGCTGATAACACTCACACCCTTAATCCTAGCATTGTCTCATGAATCAGTCACATTCTAGATCCAGCCTCCTCTGGAAAAAAACCCCACCTATGACCACATGAGGCTTTGGGGGGGACATCTAAACACAGTCATAACAAATGCCTTTACACGAGAAGGTGGGCAGTGCCACATAGGCATCTGTACTGAGTGCGAGTTTGGATGTCTGTTTATGCACACAAGAGTTACTCTTGGGGTTCCAGGGAACAATGATGATTATGGTGCTTATTGACAGTTTTCTTAAGACTTGCTTTGGAATTGCCAGATGTTCCCTTTGTTCTGTCAGATGGCCTGTGTTCCCTCAATGGGCCTTACTCATGTTAGAAATTTTGGAAAGAAATTTACATACAGTAAGTTCTATCAAAATGAAGTCTGAGCCCAAGGAGGGGAAGATCTTTAAAGAGCATTTCCTTTCCTGATATCGCTGGGCTGTAGAATATGGCAACCAGGAATGCAGTATTCTTGTTCTAGAAATAAGAGGCCCTATGTTTTTCGGTCTGAGACCTACTAAATGATTATAAATGTATTACACATTGAGGTGTTTGTTTCTTTAACTATAACTGGAAAAGCATGCTATTTTGGACTCCCTTTGTCCCTCAGGTCTGCTAATGTCTTTCTGCCTAACAGTATGAAGTCACGTGGGTGCTGGGTAAAGGAGGGAATTAGCAGCGTGGGAGAAGACTTTCCAGTGGGGAACTACAGCCACACTTCTTTCATCAGAGACTGTCCCATAAACACAACCAGCACATTCCCTGAGACTGTTCAATCATACAAACTTTTTCTTGCTCACAATGTACCATGTTATGTTGCATATGATGCAAAAGAGGTCAGAGGAAATCTGCATGCTTTTAGCTGGACCTTAACACATCACAAAAAGTCCTCACTGGTTTATAGAAGGGTTTCTACACATTGTGACTTTGCAGCCATTTGGCCATGGGAAAGGTAGAGTTTCTATATTGTTAGACGGTGGGCTAACATGGGTTAAACATTCAGCATCCCAGCGTTGCAGTGGGTCAGGAGGGTTTTTCCAACCTGGTGAACAGAGACTTGGCCTTACTGGCTTGGTCACAGGGCTTGCTGTACAGTATTCAGGATGAAAGAATAGCCTGGTCCTGTCCTGAATGTCTCAAGTTCTTATCAGGGCTTTGTTATCTTCCATTCTGTTCCCTAAGTACACTACTTTTTAGACTGAAATTTCCTCAGGGTTAGGGTAGAGAATCCCATTTGGTGCTGTCAGGGTTGCTTCCCTAAGAGCCATCTCAGGACAATTGCAGGAGGGCATTGAGAGGCCAGATCACACCTTTTGATTCTCCTGTACTGCTGTTGTGTGGATTGGTGGCTACCGCAGGTCTGGAGTTAGTGGCAGGGCTCTGCTTAAGCTCACCAGCAATGTGTCTGCATCCCTTGTCAGTGTGAACTCATTGACTGGAGAAATTCCTGCAGTAGAGATTAAACTAGGTGACTTCCACTAGGTGCTTTTCCTCAACTCGAATTTAGGGACTGCAGGATAAGACATGGCGCTAACTGGACATTTAACAGAGTGGCCAACTAAAGGTGATGTGAGATGTTTGCTTTGCTGGGTGAGACCACTGTGATCACCTTTTAGGTTTTTGCTTCTCTTTGGTGCCCAAGACCCCCTTACAGGTAGCTGTTAGGGACCATGGGATTATCTGGAATGTTTTCTCACATGGTCAATTTGAGAGATCAGTATATCAGTACCACTTTACTTCTTAAGAAAGGAGTTAAAAGAAGCTTTTAGTTTCCAGTTTTTCCTTTTCTCATAATTTTTCTTTTCCCTTCTTTCCTTTCCCCTACCCTTCCCATTTCCCCTACTCCTTTAGACCTTTTCTTCCTGTTTCACATTGTCAATTATATCATTTGAACCTTATTTACACTTTTAGTTTTTCACACTAAAGAAACTTTGGTATTTACATGTGTGTGTCCTATTTATGAGTATGGCCTCAATGTGCATCCATTTAGCTATAACTGTCTCTAGTTTCTCATTCTTTATGGCTGAGTAGTACTCCATTTTATAGAAAAACCACATCTTCTTTATGCAGTCTGTAGTTGATGGGCATTTAGGCTGTTTCCAAGTTTTAGCTGTTACAAACTGTGCTGCTATAAACATGGGTGCACATATATCACTGTGGTATGATGGAAGGGTGGAGGGGGTGAAGGGAGGGCAGGGAAATGGGGAAAAAAATAAGAACTAAGATATATCATGTAAAGGTACAGGATCCCAACAATGAATGTAACTGTATTTTATACCTAAAATGCACCAATAAACTTAATGAAAAAAAAAAGCAGCTTTTAGTGATGGCACCACACAGAGTGCTGCTGGCTAGAGAGAGTAAATTTCCATTCTGTACTTCCTGATTCGAGGAGGCTTTGTCTGTACAGCTCCTTCAGGAATGCCTTTGAGCCCCATCTCACTGTCTGATGAGCTCTTTCCTCTGCCTGGGGCCAGCAGTCTGAACACAGGGGAGGTGTCCAGTTAGATTTCATGAAATGCTTGTCTTTCAGCTTGCCAGTAATTGCAGAAGACTCCACAGTTTATAGCTTCCTGTTTGATCTTGATGTCAGGGTGATCACTGCCCTGCCACTGCTCTGACAGTGTGAGCTGAGGCTTCCAGAGGGTCATTCTGGTTTTGGTCTTTTTTTTTTTTTTTTTTTTTTT